ATTATAGAACTATCCAGAATAGTTTCAATGCCTTAGAATTCCTCTGTGTCTTGCCTATTTGTTCTTCCCTCCAACCTTTGTGCCCTGAGAACCGCTGATCTTTTTTTATAGTATTTATAATTTTGCCTTTCCCAGATTGTGTGTAGCTGGAACTATATAGCCTTTTCCCATTAGCTTCTTTCACTTTTTTTTTGGCAGAACCAGGGATTAAACTCAGGCCCTTGTGCTTGCCAGGGAAGTGCTTATTCCACTGAGCCATCTCCCAGCCCCCACTTTTTTCTCTTTCACACTTTAAGTATGATTTTCTTTTATTGGTATTATCATATCTCTTTCTCCATCCCTTAACTTTTAATCTATATGCATCTTTATGTTTAAAATGGGTTTTACCTAAGCAGTGTATACTTGTGCCATGCATTTTTGATCCACTCCCAAAATGCTTGACCTTTTTTTTTGTGGAACTGGGGATTGAACTTAGACCCTTGCGCTTGCCAGGGAAGTGCTTATTCCACTGAGCCATCTCCCCGGCCCAATGCTTGACTTTTATTTGGTGTATTTAATCCATAGACCCTTGTAGTGGTTATCAATATACTTGGATTAATACCTATTGTGTTTGTCACTGTCTTCTACTTGTATTTATTCTCTGTTTGACTTTTGTCTTCTACATTTTTCTTGCATTTATTGTTTTGGCTGAGCATTGTATATGGTTCTACTTTCTCTTTTTTTAAAAAAAATAATTTTATTGAGAAAGAAGTAGTAATGAGATAGTTTCGCAACAGGTTAGTAGCACAGTTACAATAATTAATACATTGCATATTGTTGTCTTCATAGTAGTTATTCATAGTACAAGATACAGACATGATATGTTGTCTAAACACTATTAGTTCAAAACTTTCTTCTCATTGAACTAAGAGAAAGTAGCTGTATATCTATCGTAACTATTTTGTATATACATATATATATATTTTTTCACTACAAAATAGTCCTTCATTTATTTTCTCTCTTTTCTTACCATATCAATTATAATTTGAAAATTACTTAGTGCTTGCCATAGAGTTTGCTGTGTACGTTTACAACCAATCCAAGTTAATTTTCAAATAGCACTATACCAGGGTATATGCTTGTATTTACAGTTAGTACAAGTACCTATAATAACAACATAGTCCTAATTGCTTTTGGCCCTCCCTTGTATCACTGATGTCATTTATTTCACTTAAAGAGAAGCACACATAGGTGCACACATAAAGTAAAATATAGTGTTGCTGTTATTATTTTGAATGAACTGTTATCTGTGACATCAGTTAAGAATACAAAAGATTTATTTTTGTCTCTTCACTAATATTTTTGCACTTGTCTCTTTACTAATATTCTCTTCTTGATGTAGATCCAAATTCCTGACCTATATTATTTTCCCTTCTCTCTGAAGAGCTTCTTATAACATTTTGTGCAAAGCAGGCCTACTGGTGACAATCTTCCTCAGGTTTTTGTTTTGTTTTGTTTTGTGGTAGTGGGGATGAACCTCAGGACCTTGCACATGCCAGACAGGTGCTTATGCCACTGAGCTGTCTCCCTGGCCTCTCAGTTTTTTTTGCTTTTGTTTTTTACCTTACCAGGGATTGAACTCAGGACCCTGTGCATGCCAGGCAAGCACTTATTCTACTGAGCTATCTCCCCAGCCCCCTCAATTTTTTTTTCTAAAAATGTCTTTATTTCTCTGATTCTTTTTCTGTTCTAGATACCAAATAGGAGAGAAAATATGGAATACTTCTCTTTCTGAGTCTAGATTATTTCATTTAACATGATGTTCTTCATTTCTATCCATTTTCCTGAAAGTTATATGATTTAATTTTTTTTTTTTGTATTTTAGGGAAGGTTCTACAGGGTGTTCAGGGTCTCACTACTAGATTTGACTCATAGTGATCCACCTGTTTACAGCCTCCCAAGAGCTGGGAGTACAGGCCTGCACCACCACACCCAGTCTCAATTGCTGTCTGATTGAACCCTGGGCTCCTGCACCTGCTTGCAGGTGCTTTAATCCGCTGAGCTATTTGGCTGGCCCCACCAACTGGCTTTGCCTTTTTAGTATGCCTTTTCTTGAAAGCCTGATGTGACAACTTGACATGACAACACAGGGCAGAATGAACTGTGTCTGACAGTTATTTAGTCATGTGGTGGGAACATGTGAAGGAAGGATACATTCTGTATGATTAGAAGCCTGTCCTCTGATGAGCCTGAGCCCCTGAACTGTGAGCTTCGCAGTGCTTTTCAGTTCCTGCTCTTCAGTGAGTGGGAGTATCTAGAGGGGCTTGGGTGCAGCTATTGCCCTTCCTACACACAAAGAGCTAGAAGTTGGCCAGACGTGAGTGCTTCTCTCCCTCATGTCATTAAGCTCTTGTCAAACTCCTATAGGAATGTATTCTCTCCCAGGCGAAGGACTTACAAAATCCAGATTGTTTCCAGGCATGGTAATACAGGCATACCTGTAATCTCGTCAATCTGGGAGGATGAGGCAGAAAGACTGCAAGTTGAAGTCCAGTCTGAACAACTTAATGACTTAATGAAACTCTGTCTCAAAATAACATAAAGTGCTAAGGATATATCTGAGTGAAGGCCCTGGATTCAGTACCCATTACCATAGGAAAGAAGAAAGAAAAGCAAAGAGAGCAAGAACAGAATGTTCTGATGTAGTTCAAAATGGTTACTTTCTCTCCCTGCTGCCCGAAACATGAGCTTTTTCTCTGTTCTTCATTGGGACAATTAGTGGGGTTCCTAGAGGTAAAAATCACAAAAGTGTACGTGACCTTCCTGAATACTAGGCTTCCTGGATTTCCCAGCTTTAAAACTTATCTATGCCAAGCCCTCAGAAATCTGTCAGTCTCAGGTTAGGTTTTCCTGTCCTAGTCTTGGTTCCTTTGGAGGCTTCTACATAATGGCCTCTTGTCTGGTAAGTTGTTGTTCTCTTTATGAACTTGCCTGTCACCTTTTAGAGTAGAAATATTCTTGTGGCCTCACTTCTCAAGTATAAGAAAAGTTGGTACTGTTTTAGGACTAGCTTCTGAGAGGTAGAGGAACTGAAAGAAAATGGGTGCATGAAAATAGGGGCTCCAAGTTAATCTCTAGAATTTGAAGTCATTCTGCGGCCTGTGACATTCTAAACCAGTGATTTTCAGTGTTCCAGGCCTCTTTTCATAACAAGGAGTAATTTAATCTGAAGTGTCTGTATCACTGCTGTTGAAAAATACTTCTTTTTTTAATTCAAAAGTATGAACTTTTAATTAATTAATTAATAATTTTTTTTGTGGTACTGGTGATTGAACTCAGGCCCTTGCACTTGCCAGGCAAGTACTTATTCTACTGAGCCGTCTCCCCAGCATGAAAAATGCTTCTTAACCCTCTTAAACTGGTCAGAGTGTTTCACAATGACCTGTGAGGTAGCTGAAATGTCACAGTGTGAACTGAAGTAGGTAGGACCTGAACCTGCAGCAGCCTGTACGTCAGCAGCAGAGCCAACACTACTGTCCACCAGTCCTGTTGTTTCCCAGAAAGCCCACAGGTACCTGGGCCTCTGCTTTGAATGCTTCACCTTTCTGAAACGGACCATCATGCACTGTCTTGTGAGTAGAATTGATGTTCAGGATTACAGGGGATCAATTTAAGGAACCCCTGCAGATAGCAAAATCTGTGGCTGCTCAAAGCCTTTCTAGAAAATGGCATGCTGTTTATATATAACCATACACATTCTCTGAGTTACTTTAAGTAGCCTTTAGGCTACCTATAATACTGAGTACAATGTTAATAGTTGTCAACCTGTATTATATACAGAATAATGACAAGAAAAAAGTCTGAGCATGCTCAGAACAGATTTTTTTAACAAACTTTTTCAATTTGTGGTTGATTAAATTCCATGGCCGTGGAACCCCATGGATCCAGATTCCTGCACGTATAGAACCTGCACATACACACAGAGCTAAATGCACGTGTGGCATTTTGGTAGACTCCTCCACTTGTCCTAGCAAAGCATAGTCTATTCTGTTATGTAGTAATTCCCTGCTGCAAAGAGAACCGAAACTTTCTTTGGGTGTAGCCCTAAGTACATAAAGTAGCCCTAAGTACAAATTTTGTTGAATTAGGACACAAGAAAGAATATATACTAATAGATTAAGTTGGTCATGTCTATGAGCTTGTAATGAAAATGATACCTGTCTCCAACACAGGCTGTGTGACCCTCACACTGGTGTGGAAAGAGAAATTTCAGGCCCACATTGGTTGTTTTGCTTACAGGATTTTGTATTACTAATAATACTTAAAAGCACTGTGTTGGGGCTAGGGAGATGGCTCAGTGGAATAAGCACTTCCCTGATAAGCACAAGGGCCTGAGTTCAATCCTCGGTTCTGAAAAAAAAAAAAAAGCACTGTGTTATTTCCTTTGTTAAATTTTCCACAATTCTGCTTCTTTTACCCTTTGGGTTGCTCATACTTGTACCTTTTAAAAGATGAATTGTAACCTTGCTTAAAACTCCTGTATTCTCAGTTTTTATTCCCTACAGATCTTAACAGAAACAACATGAACAAAAATCTCTTGTAATGTTTGACATCGCAGCTATCCTTAACTTAGTCCGACATCAAATCTCTATGTCTTAAAGTTGTCTCGATTTCTCATCTATAAAATGGAAATAATGACCCCTCGTTAACTGAGGCTTTTCCTGGGCATAACATCGCCTAAAGCAAATGAAAACATTTTGAACAATACTGTGTAAATATTAAGTTTCCTCCAGTTAGGGACAAGGCTTAAAAATTGTGTTTGTATGAGTTATACAGTATAGTCAGTTGTCATCCAATTCTTAAAGTACTTTTTTGGCTGTATGAAATAATGTGTTTATTACTTACGGTTTCAACCTCAATATATAGAACCTTTTTTTTTTTTACTAGTAATTCAGTTAAAACTATATTTGCCCTTGGGCTGTCTTGAAAATTATAATACCTTGACCTTTGTTTCTCTGTAGGTGTTACAGAACATCTTGGATACTGAAAAAGAGTATGCTAAAGAACTTCAAAATCTTCTTATAACTTACTTAAGACCACTGCAATCCAATAACA